CACACCCAAGATCAATATGAAGATGCATAACGGGTTGTGATCACGATCATCACCGTCACCGAGTTGCGATGGAAGATGAACATGTCGGTGTAGATCGTACTTGGAGTCCCTCGAACCGTCGATGAACGACCCTGTGGACCTCCCACGAACAGTCACTCGAATCGAAGATCGAAAGCGCTACTTCTCTACTTGGTCGCAATCATGCAGCCTTCACGATCCGACAACACTTCGCCGTCCAGAGCTAATCATCGCCGGAGAATTATAGGGAGGATATTAGAAGCACACATGGCTTCTAATTATGAGGACAAGAGGATTATCCTAGCTCTAATTAGTCAAACTAGGACCAACTAGAGCTAGAACTAAAAGAACTAGAGGAGGCTCCAAAACTTGTGTATCCAAAAGAGCAACATCCCCTAGTATATATAGGTTGGAGGGAGAGGAAGGGCTGCCACCAAGGGGTAAGGAGGCCCCCTTGGTGCGTCGGCCTAGGGAGGAGGAGTATGACTCCTCCCCTTCTCCAGTTCGGCCTCCTTCCTTAGGGAAGGAGGCACTTTCCCACTTCGACCTTTTCGCCCAAGTTGCCTTCCACCTTTTGGCCTTTTTTAGCCCCATTGATATTAAAGTAAATATATAAATGTTCCAAATACTTTCAGACCATTATATATATAATTTAACATCCCCTAGAACATTTTCCACCAATATATAATTTATCGGTAATACCTGGTATTACCCGATATTCAACGAAACGCTTTCAGATCCTATCGAAACTATTCTAAATATTAAGGAAACAATTCCACAAATATATTCTCATCACTCCAGTCCTACTAACACTCATAAGATCATGATTGCCTTAAGCTTGTGACCCCGTAGGTTCGGTAACTCACAGACATGAATGAAACTATTTGTTTAATGACCGACCGCGGGACCATGGACATCCATATCGGACCCCATGAGCACACGAATCATATTCGAGTGAACCTTTGGTTATCCTATGATGTTCCCTTTGCTTCACGATACTTCACAAAACCTGGGATGCACTGGTATCCTCCTGAGTCATCACTATGCTCGTTATATCAAAATCCTCATTACCGGTTTTGTTCTTCTTTCTCGTTGTCGTGTTCCGGCATCCCCGTGACGAAGTCACCTGTGTCTGGACATACAATGATGGATGCCATTACACATAGAGGTCCCTAAGAATATCTCTGCATCGTCGAAGGAGCAAATCCCACTCTCGAGCTATCCGGTCACTTGTTAAACTTTTCGATGTGCCCGTAAGTTGTCGTTACGATCACCGTGCTATAGGTGACGTTTGAGCAACCCCAAAGCCCACCATACGGTAAGAAGTGACTATGATACTCTCATGTTCTAAGGAGCAAATTCACACGTTAACACTCCATGTTATTACAATTGATTGCAGATGATATTAACTCAATTCATAACATACAAGGTCAGATCGATTCAATATGATCTTTCTTCCAACGTCATAATCTCAATGTTGTTTTAGGACTATCGTTACACTTAACGATATCCTAAGATCCGTAAAACGTGATAACCAATAACACTTCAGCTAGTCCTAGAGGCAAGACTAGGAATCTTTTATTTAACCATTTATCATTCCACACGTGTGTATGAGTTTTCCACTGAATCACATATTCCAAGATCATAGCGGTTATAACATGAAATATAAACTCTATAATTATGAATCCAAAAATACAAAAATAAAAATATTATTGCCTCTAGGGCATATTTCCAACAATAGAAATACCCTTAGGATCATTAGGAACATGCTTAGTAGCAAGCATAGACATAATCATATCAACCTTATCACTCAAGCAGGTAATATCCTCAATAAAGCTTACCTTTATTATTTGGAGTTCTTTTAGTGTGCCAATGGGCATAATTTGTCATCATCTCATCAAGGAGATTTGTAGCCCTTACCAAAGAGATCTTCTAGCTAATGTTGTGGCAAGTAAATATTGACAATCTTACTCAAAGAACAACAACTTTCCCATAATTTATATCCATTTCTAGGGCAATGTTAGGTGTCGATCAACCGATCGAAAGCCCCGATCGGTCACCTCCCCTGCCGCATGCCGCATGATCACTTCATTTGTGGCTGATCGTCCTCTTTCACGTTGCATAAACAAACGTCTTCCTCCCATACAAAACCAAAACACACATCCTCCCCGCTGTGTCGCAGCTACACACATGGTTCCTTGCCCCGACTGTAGTAGCCTACGTCATGCCTCTCCCAACAGCACACATGGTCGCTCACCACCACGCCACATAGTCGGCCTCCGCAGCAGAGTGCATCATCAATTGTAGCGATGTAGTATGTCTCTTCGTCACTGGTCGGCTCGCAGTAACACGGGTCACCGATCCTAATAGAGCACCCCATGGTCACAGCTGAGAGTCTCACCGGCCCAGCATCATGATTGTGTGTATCTCGTCGTAGACCGACTGGTAGCACCGCGGGTCGCCGGTCCCAACTGAGCTCCCCGTCGGCAGCACCGTTGTGGTAGTGCGCCTACAGGCTAGCAGCAACGTAGTCTATTGATCCCAGCAGAGCGCCCTGCCTGTCACAGCATCACGGTATTGCGTGCCACATCCACAGCACTGACGGTCATCACCTCTAGCATCAGTACCACACCCTTGCAACACCGACCATGGACACGCACAAAACACCATGGGGATCACAACAAAACGTGTCCTACAGGCAGTCGGCCTTTGTAGCACCAACACCCGCCTTTGTAGCTCATGTACCCAACCTTTGCAACACCAGCGCGTGAAGCGGGGCCGCCCTGCAACACCAAGCTACTGGCATCGCAACACTGAGCAACGAAGTGGTTGCCTACCTTGCACCTATCTAGCAGCACTAGCCTCACAACAGCGGCCACTCGTAGCCCCCTCCGACTCGAGGCGGCTTCGCGTGCCTCTGGTTTGTAGCATCGGCGAGCAGCCAGCAACCCCGGCAAACAGGACGAAGGATGAGTGAGAGGCGGTGGGCGTGACCATGTCGTCAACGATGATGAGGTGGCAGTTGCGGATTGAACTACATCGACGGCCGGCTTGCAAATCTTCGGTTTGGTGGGGGAGAAGAGAAGCATGAGAGAAAGATGAGCGAAACTGTTTTGACCTGGTATAGGAACAAAGAAACATGAGGGGATGAGTCACGTGCACGCCCCACGGGTACGTGGCACACACGCGCAAGTGGACCAACGAGAACGCAGATCAGTTGGCCGATTGGGCTCATTTACCATTTGTACCCGACATTCTTTGTTAATTTGTCTGTTCTTCTAAACAATACTCCCTCTGTTTCATAATATAAGACGTTTTCTGATACTTGTAGTATCAAAAGGCGTCTTACATCATGGGACGGAGGGAGTAACTAACAGATCTAAGACTATTGGTTTCTTACCGAAAAGGCTTTCGCCCCGCTTTATAAATAAAGCAATGACCAACAACATCTAGGTACAGACGCACACCACCACAACACACGCACACACCCAAGGCGGGATACATAGGCGCTGAGCGCAACAACACGACCCCCAGCACTACTCGAGCAACCGGGACTCCACCAGTGAACACGCCATCACGAAGAGATGCAGCCGCATACGATGAACCGTGGGCTTCAAGACGGTGCCTTCATGAAGGTTACGACACGGGAGCGTCGTCACCGCCAGATCCGAGGATCAAGGTTTCCCCCGGAGCCACACGACAGACAATGAGAGCCGCGACGACGCCTTCAAGAAGGGAACGAGCTACACCGCCGCCGGTCTGTCCGAAGATAGAGCAGGTTTTTACCCCGGCCAATACTCACTGCCATCGAACGCCGCACCCCGACAACCACGCCGCCCACACGGCCATGGCCACCGGGCAGCACCAAGCGACGGGCTCTGCCCGTGAGCACCGCGCAGCCACCACCAGGGCCGCCACCCCGGAATCCAAGACCTAGGAACCACCACAAACCGACACCCGCCGCTACCCCAACGGAAGAGACGATCGGATCCCGGGGCACACAAGTCCATCGATTCGTCCTACAGCTCCGGGCGCGTGACGAGCTTGGTCCTGCTGCCAGACGCGAGACGAGCTCAGTCCTGCTGCCGGGCGCGAGACGGGCTCGGTCCTGCTGCCGGGCGTGAGACGAGGAGGTCCTGCTGCCGGGCGTGAGACGAGCGCAGTCCTGCTGCCGGGCGCGAGACGAGGAGGTCCTGCTGCCGGGCGTGAGACGAGCGCAGTCCTGCTGCCCGAGCACGGGACTAGCGATGGGTCGCAGCAGGGAGAGGACCATCCCACCGACGAAGATTGCGCCCGGGCACCATAAGGGCCCAGAGCACCTGAGCCGCAGCCGCGATGGATCTGGGCCGCGCCCAAACGCCGCCGCCGCCAGGAGCAGGGCACGCCCCCAGCCCGTCCCGGCCACCCACGCCGCCGCCAGCAAGTCGCGCCCCCGTCGCGAGCCGC